TCTCTCTGTCTGTCTGTCTGTCTGTTCTCTCTCTCTCTCTGTCTGTCTCTCTCTCTCTCTGTCTGTCTCTCTCTCTCTCTGTCTCTCTCTCTGTCTCACAGTATATTAAACTGTGTTTCAAACTGCATTTTGTATAACCTTAAAAGCCCCACACAAAAAAAGGGGGCATCTTATCTGAATCTTTGATGAGGAAATCATTGATTAATGCGAGCTGTAACTCCAGGAGTGCGGACTGATGTCAGAGACACATCAAATGTAGCTCCCAGGTGTAAATGGGGCTAAAGATTCACAGTGTGACAGGATCAAACTGTAAACACTAAGACAAAAGATGACATATGAATGTGTAACGTTTCCATGACAACTCTGTCAGATAGTTATTTATAGTTATTTATTTCATTTTAACTCTATTCACTACTATTCTTCTATGTTAATTAAAGTTACCATACCGAGGCCCCCCCCCCCCCCGAAAAAAAAACTCCCCACTTTGATGTTTGTCTTGTTTTTCCTTTCTTTCACTTTCTTCTGTTTTGTTCTGTATTATTCTGGGATATAGGCAATAGGGAGCATGTATCAAATGGAAACAAAATGAAACTAAAAGAAAAAGCATAATAAAAAGTGGATTACACTCAAATCTCAACTCAAATTGGTTTCTCTTCAATATTCAAATTTCTGAAAATAAGTGGAGACTTGGGTCTGGAACCAGTGATGATACTGGCACCAGCACTACTACAACTTCCTTGTTGGGTGTTTTATCATCGCCTGATAACACTAAGCTTGTCAGTTCACACAAAGTGAACCCAAGTGTTTGGGTAATGCTGTAATTATGATAATAACAGCGCATCAAAGATGCAAAGCAGACCCGACATTCGGGATCCAACCACGGGCGTTACCGCTGTGATGCTAATTTATGCGGCGACCTGGAGGCCGGCGATAAACCATCTTTTCTCAGATTCCTCACTTCTGTTCCCAAAACAATATTCTAAGTGTTGATTGGCTACAAAAAACATCAACTACGGTCCCGTTGTCTTCCAAAACTTTGCACCTCCTACTTGACAAATTCTGCTTATGAGACACCAACAGCAAACGGCTTCCAACTAGGTAATTCACTCACTGCCAACTTTCCTCAGAAACACTTGAAAAACAGACAGTGAGTAAAAAACCACAGGCTAATTAAGTGAAATAGTAATGGTGAAAGAAGGTGGTAACAATATGTGACAGAGAGAGAATGATAGGAGAACCAAAGGGCAGAAAGAGAGAAAATGAGAAAAAGCTTTCTGTTAAGCGTCTCGATGAGTAAGTGGATGGGATTTGCATCCAGGATGTTTTTGTGAGCTGTTCAAGGAGAAAGGGCTAACAGACTGCTGGGGACCACTCCATGGAGAAAAATAAGGCTGTGTTATGAAAACACACCAAGGTTAACCTAAGCCTATAGTGATAGTTTCCGTGGTAGTGGGAGAAGAAAGGTCACACACTGAACACAGCCCACCAGTAGAGGAGGACAGACTTCTTCTGTTTCCACTGTCCATCATAAGTTTACTCTTTCACAGGACGAGGTTACTTCCTGTTAACAAATAACAAAAAGTCCAAAACCAACAATGAATGTATCTACTAAAGAGTATTGTGTGTGAATCAAAGCCTGACATATCCTTTTGCTCTGAACCATATCAGTGTTGGTTTGCTGTAGCACCCATTGTATTGGTTTGAGATTCTGGTGCTCTGGTTAAACATCCATTAACTGTAGAGGTGTACGAAGATATTGAAAATATTGTATTGCGATATTTGGTTTGTGATATTGTATTGGCTCTGAAAACCACTATGGATTTTTGGGTTTAAACACCCAACTGCTGCATAGCAGTATTGCAAGCAGACTACAATGTTAGATCTTACAGGAACTGTGAAAAATACAAATACAATATCGCAATATACTGAATCACAACCCCCTGTATCGTGATACGCATCGTAACGCCAGATTCTGGCGGGATGGGAATGTCAGTTCACAGCTCTAAAAGCTTGTGTCAAAAAGTGTACCCTCTGGGGAGCGTGAATGTCTGTTTAGCAATAAGTTTATTAGATTTTCATGTGTAACTAACATTTTTGGCCTCATGGTGGCGCACAGAAAAGTAGGATTTTATTAGAGTTTATTCTCTGGGAATGATGAATATCCATGATGGATAAATGGTGGTTTAAATTACTAACAGATGGAAATACAATGGCATCATTTAATTGCATTAAGAACTAAAACTTGGAAGAATATATCTAAAAAATGCCACCTCATAAGAAATGCATGCCATCTGTGTTTGTATGTGTTTGATATGGTCATGCACACTTCTTCACACCCTTCTGCAAGCTGGATCAACAACAAATACGGACAACAATACTGTCTCAATACTGCACTTTGGACACCACAAAGAACACATGTTGCTCCGTTTCACTAACCACTGCTGCTGTTGGAAATCCAAACTGCTGGTTAAGTGGCAGCTTAATTACAGCGTGTTTACCGGGAACACAATAGGTGAAGTGCCAGAAACAGCCAACTGTTGCCTGGCCAAAGTTGAAGGTCAGCGTGAAAGGGAACGGCGAGTGATAAAAATATTTTTGGCAAGAAAATGAGTCGGCAGTCCAGAGATATATCTGCAGCAGCAAATGGTGCTGATATCTTTTTACTGTTCCAAGGTCTGCTAGAACTCCCTGTTTATTGTGTGATGTCAGCTAGTCATCGGAGTGTAACGATGTGGGAAGATTACACCGTAACCGCCATCACTGTTGTGGCAAACATGCGCATGAGACTCACATTCAGAAAGAGTTCACCTTCGTTCACTGTTTTTGAGAATCAAGTGCCGTAAAGTCTGAAATAGAGGCTGCAGCCTTTATTTTAACTGCAGTTAAAATAACTTTATTTCTGATTTCCAACACAGTCAAGTCCTATTTTACATAAACAAAAGCAGCAATGTAATAAAGTTAAAGTACTCATTGTGTAGCGGTGTAGAGGGGTCATTCTGAGGGTGCTGTATTATTATAGCTGAAATGATACACCAATTCACTGACTGTCAGCTATTTTTATATTGATTGATTCTTTTACTTTCTAAAAAAAGTCCAAATTCTCTGATTTTAGTTTTTCAAATATGAATATTTTCTGGTTTCCTTTGTCCTCCGTGACAGTGAACTGATTATTTTGGGGTTGTGGTCAAATTAAGACAGGTGAGGACGTCACCTTGGGCTTTAGGAAACAGTGATCAACATTTTATGGACCAAACAACCAATCGATTAATTAAGAACATGACAGATTAATACTGATCAATACTGAAAAAAATAGTTTGCTGCTCTACTAATAAATGCCTTTTAGGAGCATTTTAACATTGCTGTAATGTTGTCATGGTGAAGATAATACTGTATATGCTGTTGTGTATATGCAACATAATTTTAAGTAAATCTGCAAAAGTATTAGTAACTACAGCTCAAATCAAATATTTCCTTTTGAAAAGCAGTGGAATACTCAAATCTGTGCATGAGTATACTACCTTAGTAAAAGTATTTAGTTACACTCCACCGCTGACCTACTTGCTAGTTTCTTTCTTTGATATGAATTAATTACTGTTAATAAAATGCAACACTTCTGATTTCTGTTTACTAAATGAGAGAAAAAGGGTCCCTAAAGGAAAAAGGTTGGGAACCGCTGCATTA